TTGGGTGTCTCAAGATATTGTATAGGAAATGCTTTGATCACTTGGACGTCCAAATTAGTTTGAAAATCAGGCCATAAATGGGCTCATTGATTTGCAAAAAATCCCATTGATTTCGCCTTGAAGACTCCACTTTTGGGCTGATGTGGCTTTTGGCGGCAAAGAAAAGACTCGTGGGCTTGACTGGTATTTGGAAGATATACTTTAAAATGCGGAAAATAGACGCCAAATATTGAATGCGGAATATTTTTCAGAAATATTTAAGTAATTCTTTTGTTATTCCATTAACTCTCTGGTTGTAAAATGAAGGTCTGTGATTTTAAGTATCTTTTCACTGTCTCTCATTTTCGATTTCTCCTGATAAATCTATTATGCACATTTGGTGTGTAAAATTGATTGATATCAATAAATTAACAGCGTGTTTTTTGTGAAAACAAATAAAAACCGTGTTGAAGTAGTAAAAATTTTAAACCTTCTGGTGAGAGATGACAAATTGATTAGCTTCATGGTATAAAAGTGCATTAGAACACTAAAGTTTCCTCCAAATAAACACACTCTCATCTCATTTTTGTTATTTTCACTCTCGCTCAACGACTTTTGCCCGCGCGCGCTTGTTGTTATTATATTTTCACCCAGCGAAGAGTGGCTTCACGAAAATTTTGGGAGGCAAGTCACGACGTCAAAGACAGACTCCAAAATAAAAGCATTATTGCTAAAAATAATTCAACACCCAAAATATATATCAGGCGTGAAGAGGAAAATCAATTTTCTCCGCGCACAGGTTCGCTGAGAATGTGTTTTTCTCTCCATCTTCTCGGGGCACTTCCTTGAACCTCGACCCACGGGAAATGCTACCGACGCTGCCCTCGAGACAGACTTCTCACGATGAATTTCACACAAGGCACAACGACGTGTGCACTAGAAAATCCCAATTGTGGCGTGTGGGCGATTGAGAGAAAAAAGTAAGGTGGAGCGCGGAAAAGTGGGAGTGCAATCCAATAAAATGCTCTTGGGAATTGGAGAAAAATTATAATGCATATCGGGTGACATGTGTCGCATATTAATGTCACTATTGTTTATTTTGAAATTCCACTTGCCAAAAATAGATCTCCTCTCAGTAGCAATCAATCAAATTGATTCTTGTCTCTTTTCCCGGAACAGAAAGAGGAAAATTTATTCCATAAGCGTAGAATTGCTAATGTCCATAGATTATGGATAAATTTCTCGATAAAGAACGAAAATTTCAATGGTATTTGTTTCATATTTGTATGATATTTATCCAACAGAGCTGTGATATTACAATTTGAGATGGTTTCGAACAGTGTTAAAGCGTGTATAAAATGATTTTATATATTATTAATAGAAAACATTTTATAATCGACTATTTGTCTGGCATTCTCGTTGATAAACAACTATGTGAATAAAAATCCCGGAAAAATAAATTAGTCATTTAATAACTCCAACTCATGGTTAATCTCTTAATCACAATCTTTCGCGATAACCCACTCTGCTTCCATTGCCACGCAAAATGAGAGAAATAAGTAGAAGAAAAAAAATCTGTAAATGGCACACTTCCCCTCGAAAAATCGAAATCTTATCTAGATAATCTCTGCGCATGAGAATTCCCTTTTCATTCTCTTTGTCTTTCGCGTCTCTCCGGCTTTTTTCTCTGTCACTTAATCTCAACGGGTGTTAAGTAATTTTCCCATTTGGACGCGTGCGAGCTTTCGCGCCGCGCGCTGTCTTCAGCCCGAAAGGGTCAATCGACCATTCAAGAAGGCATTTCACCCAAGGTGTCTCGCATTCGCGCCTCTTTCCCCACACACACACACACACGCCGCCAGATAATTATTCTCACCTCAAATTAAATGGAAATTAATTCGTATTTTGAGGTGTAACATGACTTATAGCCTCGTAATTGTTATTAGATCAATGCCAATTCTTATCAATGATGTTTATATAAGACAATAACCATTGCATGTGCATTTTTCTTTCTCTCTCCCTTCGTAAGTATGTTTATATCGAAAAGCCATAGTTTATTGTGGACGCCTTCAGCACACCGAAGAGTTTTGTGCCCACCGAATCCCCATAGTGTTGGAGCGAGAGAAAGAAGAGAAGAGCCCTGATAAGATAAGAAAGTTGGACAAATCCAGTGTGGATTTCCAACTCTAACGTTCTGCAATTTATTTTCTAGATGGAATCAATACCTTTCTCACGCGATTCTATTGCTCTTCGCGTCTGTCTTTTTGTTGTGCCAAACAAAGAGTGAAGGTATCTCTGAACTCGTTCCTTCTGGAGAGAGAGACACTTAATGTGTGCAATAGCTGTGATTTCCATATTTTCCGTGGGTGGTCAAAAAAAGCCCCCAGAGTGCGCACGAGGGGAGGAGAGCGAGTGAGAGAGAGAGAGAGAGGACTGTGGAGTGAGATAGACGCGAGAGGAAAGCATAAAATAATGTTTAGTGTAAAAACCATATTTAGAAGCTGCGCTATTCCAAGTATTTTATCCACCAGCAACACATACTGTATTATGGACTTAAGTTGTTATTTTAAACGTTTTCCCAGAAAATTTATGTCTTAAATCACGTGTTGGTTCAAGAACCTTCGCGCGCGTACACACTTTTCCTTCTTATAATGCACAGCCTCCACAATGCGGGAATCTCACCCGATAGATGGATTTCAGATGATGATGAATTGTGCAAACTATGAGCTCTTGGTTATAGAGAGTGCTCTCTTACATTTTATGGCTCTTTTCACGACACAACCAACTTATGAGGTGTAATTTTCTCTGCACACACATCTCTTAAGAGCCACACATTTCCTCATCACCTTCCCACCAACAGCACTGCACTGCTATCTTGGTGCTCTTATCACTGCCGTGGAATTCGCAGAAAGCCCATTTGCAGATTGGGAAAATACAAAGAAAGAAAAAAAAATGCGCGTTTTGGGCGCGTTTAGAGATGCAAAAACACCGCGCGCGCGATGATAACACACTGTGGCTTCCACTGACGACTGTTTTTCAATGCTAAAAGCAACCGACTGAATATGAGAATCATGATAAACAGACGAAACCCAAGCAGCGACCAGAGGCACGCCTGTGTTGGTCGATCGCCGTGGTGTTGAGCCAGAGAACAAGATTCCGCTCTCGTACAAATATGCGGGAGCTTGGGCACGTTTGTGTGTTTCTGTCGGCTTTTTCGCCTTGGCGACTCTCTTTGGCATGAATGGGGGGCTTTTGCCTCCTCTGTGATCATCACTCTTGCACCACGCTTCACTATACAACTCTTCACTCCACTTCTTCGTCAAATTCAACATCAACGCAATCCCGAGTGACCGTTTCTCTCTATCTCAGGAGGTAAAAGAAAAAAGTTCAAACCACCAAAACGCGCGAGCTTTTGGATTCCGCGTGCAATGTGCGCGACATGTTAAGACGCCCGCGATTGCAGCCTTACGCCATGTAGCGTTATTGAACGGATCAAGAGAAACATCAAAACGCGATATATTCCAGTTTTGGGCCACACAATATTTCATTCAACCACGCAAAATGAATGAAATTGCACATTTGTAATTAATATTCATGGATGTTTTTCATCATAAACATTCTCCCGCGTCTCACAAGGCACTTGTTAATTATTAATCGATGCCGGAGAGATGCTCAAGAGGCGAGTGACATCATCCCACACGGCATTTGTGATTCAATTGTTGGCATAATTTGTCCATCTCGACACCGGTCGTGGGATTGACGGACAATTGTGAGGCGCGCAGTTTTCAGCACTCAGAGAAAGAAGGTCAAAGAAAGGAGAGAATGAGACATTTCAAATTTACGCAGAGTTCTCTATGAATTTCAATTAATTTGACAGGAATTGCCAACATCACGCGATCATTGACGCTAATTACTGTTGAAGGTGAAAATTAAACTGCAATCAATTTTTCAGAGAGTGACAATGTTGAACTTGCTAAAATGCTCCTTCGCACATTTCACACACAAAAAATTATATATTTATACCTCTTGTACTGTTGAAGTAATTTGCACAATTTCTCCACCCGCTAAAGATGGCAACAACAGTTAAAAAAAAACCCCTATCTGAGGAGGTGATAATGTGTGAACATGATAACGTATCATGCAATATTAGCGGGTGAAAAATACCACTATTTATCAACAATCTCATGTTTATACAATTCGTCACATGCGATGGTGAAGAGAGATTGCTGAGTAAAGAGAGAAAATGGCAAAAACGTGGTTAACCGCCGTCAAGAGATCACTTCTTGTGGGTAATATTGGGATTCTATTAACGAAAAGTAAAACCATATACATATTACTATGGTTTCACATGAAATGAAATGATGCGAAAAAACCACAGTAAAAGAACCTGTCTGGGAGCTGAGAATGCTCAACTATCGACCAAGTATCATCAGACGATATGATGAAGATCAATTGAATTCACAAGCGAAATGATTATGATAAAGTACAACAAATCAATTTAGTGTCACTCTCTTCAATACACATCTCAAAGCCGCAATGGAGAATAAAGTATATGGAATTCTCGGCTGAACTTATAGTGTAAACACACCGCCAAGTGTATTCTGTTTAATTGATTGACTGGGTCTTTCTGTATTCAACCCCACCCGATACATATTCACATGTCCCATTTCCAGCAATCATCATTTTATGGCACTCTCTCATTGTGTATCAAATTTTAATTTTGCCTGTGTTGCGCGCGTTTATTTATTCAACCTTCAATATATTTCGTCCAATGGTCTTTTTCGCCATGCTCAGAACTGTGTGAGAAGAGAGAATTGTGTGGAATGAGAGGCGCAACAATTGAGACTAATTAAAAGAAGATGATGGAATCATTTATCGGCACAACTATGTATGTTCACACCATAGCTTTCAGCGGAGGCACTCTTTAGACGTGATCACCACACGCCACAGCCAAGACTCAATCGGTAAAGTACACCGGAGACACTCGAAAGCTTCTGCTGAAGAAGAAGAAATGAACTTACCTTGTCCGAGCAGTACTCATGGCAGGTGAGATTGCAGCTCACGCAGCGGATGGAGCTCTTCGCCTTGAGGACGCTGTGACACACTTGACACAGCGTCCCCTGCAGGATCTCCACTCGCACGAACCTGTGGATGATGATCGGTGCGTCGTCACTCTGTTGGTACAGCAACTGGGCGGATTTGTCGAATTTCTCCTCCTCCTCCGGAGCCGCTGGATGCGGAATCTTCTGGCCCAGCGATCCCACGTTCTGCGGATGCAGCGTGATAAATCGCTCATCGTGGAAGTTCGCCTTCTTGGACTGTGACGACTGCTGCTCTTCGTCAACGAAGGGGAAACTGTCGGCACTCTTGGGAATCCCTTGCACTCCACGTGGCTGCAAATCCTCGAGCTGAATGAGTGGCAATTCGTCGTAATTCCCATTGTCGTGCAGATGTGCCGTCGGTTTCTTCGCCGTCTCGTCCTCGAAGGAGAACTTCACCGTGGCCAATTGACGCGTCAGCGGCCCTTCCTCCGCCGCCTCCCTGGGCTGAATCCTGACCGCGGCGCGCCCCAGGAGCCGCACATTTTGCCCCTTGCGCGCCTGATTGTTGTTGCTCGCGGTGGTTCTGTTGCTGTTGATGTCTCTCTGGGCGATACCATCAGTAGGTGGGATAAGCTTCCGTTCCAGATGCTCAGTCCTGATAACTTTTAATTGCTGATGCTGCGCTTTTGTGCTCGGCAGCAGTTGCAACTTCTGCTGTTCGTCCTGCAAAACAGACGCGCAGAGAACAAGAAACATAAATTACAATTGGAAACTTGCACAGCCATTGCCAATGTTCACTATACAGCCTGTGATTCTCACGTTGACCAACAGAGAATGGTAGATTTAATCAACAATTCAGTCTCTCTAATCGATTCCATTTACATTATCTGTGTGTGCCTGTGAATCACAGCCGAAAACCAATTTAATTTTCCAACGATATAAATCAATGGGATAAATTGTATAATGTAATATTGTAGTGGAAATAAATGGAAAATCTTCTATTGGATTCAATTACCATTTGTGTGTGGAAAAAGTCTCTGATATGCCAACAATCAATTAACACCCATTGCCCCTAATTTGATTTCCCCGCCGCACGTCGCGCCGGAGTCCAATAAAAAGCCCACATATCATCTTATTCAGCACCAAACCTCCCTCATGACACGACACCAAACAAATTTCTCGCTTCTTGTGTGGAAGACACGGCGAAAAAACCAGCGACAGCTGACTTTTTGCTCTGTACACAAGCGATTTATCTACCTAAGACGACATCCAGCTGTCCGAAGAGTCTTTTTTCAATTGAACATTTCTGCAAGACGTAAAATCGCACACACACGAGGAGAACGTGCCATTCCCCATTGAATGGTATCATTTGTTGTCTAATCCACAGGAATCCCTCCTGGCCACGAATTTGGACACCAAAAATATCCTCACTTTCATCCACAGGAAAATACAAGAAATGGAATAATATCGATAGATTTATGTTTCACTGCAACTTGACCGCACAAAACGTTCAAGCGCATGATTTATAAATAAAATCCACTCGGAGAATCTCTGGAAGGAGTTTCTGGATTAATTGAAGTAGAAACCATTTTCCCCGTCTTCGGCTTATCTGGGACTGTTCAAATGAATTTCCTGACTGCTTACTTTAATTATACCCTTTGATATTTAACACATTCTTCGCCTTATTAAAGGCTTTATTTGATTGAGGTGAAATTTCTACCTTAAGCACACAGCATCTGTTAATTTTCACTCCGTGACAAGAGAAAAAAGAAAACACTATGAATTCTTTTTATTGCCTCTCCCTTGAATAATTGCCTTTGCAGAAACAATAAATTTTAATTGTAAAATGTGGATTCTCGGGATTTTGCTGCATTAAACAGAGTTGTTAATGTTGTAGATTGAAGAATAATCTAAATGAAAGTTCTCAGAATATTTATCAAACTTGTTGCTCTTCTCCACCATTGATTGCCACTCATTAAGATGGCGTTTGAGACCAGAAAGGCCTTCTCAATTCATGTTGATACAGCAGCGGAGGAGTCAAGAAGTCACATTATTCAGATGAGCACCATTCTTCAGCTTCTGTGCGCGACCCCAAAATCATTGTAGATTTACAGCATGAAGTGGACTTTGTCTCAATCCAAGAGAAAACGTCCCAATAAATTACCGAGAATGTGTGTGCCTTTTCCCTTCTCTCCCTTTCGACATTTTCTTGCACTTGTCATCTTCTGGAGGGATTCCACAGAAATACCAAGGAGATTTAAAACATCTTCACTGGATTTTCCAGTGAAGAAGGAAGTGTCTCAAAGAGATTTAGGGTGAAAAAGTCGGTCGTGGAACACCCACATTTCTCGATGGCATGGAGAGAAAGATGAAATAATTAATTCGTGACAAGATTAGCGGGTATCCATTCTTCCTATTTCGCCACAGTGTGAGCAAAAAGTCCTCTCGCTGGAGATATTAAAATGAATTATAGATACTAACAAGTTGCAGATGTTTATAGGGGAGATTCTTGAACATGCTACAATCCATCTAATCGCTCTTCTTCTGCCCATTTCATACCACCTTCAGCCCAGTGTTCGCGGCCAAGAGGATTTTCTCTCTCTCTGAAAACCACACGCACAGGAGATTGAAAGCTATGACTTAATATTATTTATATTATTAATTGCATTACAATCTGGCCGGAATAGTGAATATGGCATTAATGTAACATGAAGTACCATCGACTATTACCATTTACCAGAGCCTTCCCATCTCAATATCGCCGCTATAAATCAATTTGACGAAGCGTGTGCACCGGCTCAGATGCTGCAGATACGGAAAATGAGATGAAGAAATTGATGGCGAGCCACAATCCATTAGACACCCGTGATGTGGCTTTGAGGAGGCCAAAAAGAAAAATATTCTAATTGATCACTGCACAAATTCCTATATATGAAAATTCTTCACAATAATTATATTCTGATAATTTTTATTTTCTTTTTGAATTCAACCATCATTTTGTCGATGAATGGAGAGAAAATTAGTTGCCAAAGGTTCTCGAAATTCTTCCACCAATGTCGTCAATAAATCATAATTTGGGTGAAGCTGGAAATTCAATTCTCTCTCTCTGTGGTTTCGCTTTCACGAGAATTTTATTTCGTTATCAGTTACATTGTGAAAATGAATTATGACCGTCTTTTACAGGCTGTTGAAAGAACATTACATAACTATATATATATATATATATATATATATATATATATATTGAGTAGTAATAAATATTCTAGTGAGATGAGCTTTTGATTAAAGTGTAAAATTACCCGAACTTTTACGATTCCTTAATTATATTCGTGAATTTTCACCTCAATAAAATTGTAAAATATTGGTTATTCTACGACCTTCTCTCACGAAACGAAAGTCCACATAGAATGAAAGTATTTTGGGTGAGATAAGAAAGCGTAGAATTTTAATTCAGCATAAAAGCACGCGTATCGAAATGTTTCCACGTCCGCGACCCGACGACGATGAAGAGCAACGTTGGGAAAATGGGAAATAATGAAAAGCATAATGATACGTTGGATGACCATGTCTGTGATACATGTGGAGTAAATAGTATGCAAAAGGGCAATTTAAGCCACTCTTCTGCAGATATATAGACATTTTCCATAATAATCGTAATAGTGAGTAGTAAAATGTGCCACGTACATTGAATTTAATACATCCAGAGAGTGAGAGAGATGGGGGTTTGATGTTGCCGCATTCTCTCCACTCTACAAACCATTAATTTTTATAGTTCCAGCCCATCATCATCCCAGCATCCACAGCATAAAGTATGGAACTCTGGGAGGAAACGTGAAACTTCTTCCACCACAAACTTTCAATATCTCACACATTAACCAATAAATAGAGAATCCCCACACCCATAATACTGTATAATCTTCTAAAATGTACGCTTTTGCTTTATTGGTGCACATCGAGAAAATCCCCACAATTCTTTCTCAAACAAATTTCCCCCTAAATCACTCATTAAATCAATTTACTTTACTCTCTAAATAATGCTCTCGAAGTGGGAAGAGTGTACTTATCGCGAGAAAATTGTAGTGTAACTCGGTAGAAAATCACCCCAGTATTGAAATTAACTCTATCTACCAACAATGCCACTGTAATATTGTAGAATTTCACACCACAATGCTGCAAATTACTCAGCAAAAATTAGCAAGTTGCAAAGAAAGAAATCACCTTCTCACGATAAATCACTTTCATCAGTCCTGGCTTGTTAAACATTCGATTTTTTTCCCCGTTGATCCTTCCTCTGAACTGTAGAAGTTGACATATTTATTTATTGGGTTGAAAATTGAAAGAAATATGTGCCACTTTCACTTCGAGAAGGATTAACTTTAACGACACAATACAATATGCACAGCATAATCTTCAAATTGTTACCCAATGCGGCACAATCTCTCTTTGGGACGCGCTTGGGACTCATTTTTCTTACAATGTTACGAACAAAAAGTGAAATTTCTCACATTTAAAATTCCTTCAGTTACCGACAGAGAGATTTCAACAGGATTCCACAACTCGCTTTTGCCTTCTCATATCATCAATATTCCCCGCCCCAAACTCAAATGCTTGTTATATGTATGCTTTTAATCTTAAAGAGAACGAGATGTGTATTTGATATTCCAACAATTTGCACTACATTCTGTCCATTTGAATTGCCAATAAATCTATCAATTGCTTTGAATGTGTTTTCATTTGCAAAACGTACGGCGCAGCCAGACGTAGCATTTGAAGTACAATCAATAAATAACTCGTGATGCCAAATGGATTGACAACTGCGCTGGAATGCAGGCATGACAAGATAAGGGCGAGTATATGCAAAAGTGTGTTCACACTTCCAATTTCATAATCACTCGAGCGTCTTTGGGAGATGCAAAAGCGAGCGGCAAGCTTAATTGTGTGTCCCCGCACAATTGGCAAAGCGAGAGCAAAGAGCTCTCTAAGTGGTTTCTGTTCGTGGCATTTCCCTTCTGCAACAATCTGTCTTGCGCTGTGCACGGATGGATATCTCAATTAGTAATTATGGGAATAGCAATAATTACACCTGTAAGCATAAATTAGACGTGAACACATGCAAGCAAAAGTGTGGTGAAACACTCATTCGATTATGTCAATTAGAGTGAAGCGGAAAAGCGCGTCTTGGAGGAAGGACGGGCGGTATCGACAAGATGATTTACACACAGAGAATCTCTCTCTCTCTCTAGAGGCACATAATTTTATGATTATTTCATGGGGATTTTATGAGATGAAAAGAGAATCTTATTTGTATTCCCCTTCCACGATACACACAATATTTAGGATACTATTTTTCACTTCCCATCCACCTTTTCTTCATCGTCTCAGAAGCACAACTCTGGAGCACATTCAACATTCCTCTCCAGGGGAGTTAGTTTGGTTCTCGAGAGTGAGAAATAAACTAAAACGGTGATGGATTTGAAGAAATTCACGGAAGTGAAGGAATTGCATCTGGATAGTATCTCAAGCCAATGCAGAGAAGTAAAGAATTCGGTCAATTGCAACACTGCAAAAGAAATAAACACACACACACACACTGCGCTTACGGAATGGTTGGAGTTTCTGGTGCAATTCTGGGAATTCATGGAGGAGAACAAATTAGAGAAACACTGCATGGAAAGGCACAAAAAATCAGGAACTATATATAATGTTTAAAAGATTTCATTGAG